CACTTAGTCAAATTCGATCTACAGGTTGGACAAATTATTCACAGGCAGAAGAAGAAATGAAACATAGGATTGATAGAAGAAAGACAATCAGAAATGAAATAGAAATAATGAAAAAAAATAAAATTAATAATGCAGAATCATCCCAAAAAATTTTGAAAATATTAAAAATAAAAAATATTGAATTATTAGTTAAATTTTTCATTGAAAAAATATACATAGAGATCTTTCTATGTATCATTAATATGCGCAGAATCCCTCAACAACTTTTTATCCAATCAACAAAAAAAATTATTGATAATGATAAATACATTAACAATAATGAAACAAATCAAGAAAGGATTAATAAAACAAAACAAAATAAAATTGACTTTATTTTGTCTATGACTATAAAAAGGGCTTTTGATAATCTTAGAAATAGTAAGCGGAAGTCAGATATTTTTTTGATTTATCTTACTTGTCACAAAAATATGTATTTTTCAAATTATCACAAACGCAGATTATTAACTTCAATAAGTTAAGATCTATTCTTCAATATAATGGACCGTCTTTTTTTCTTAAGACTGAAATAAAGGATTTTTTTTGGAAGACAAGGCATATTTCATTCCGAATTAAGACATAATAAACTTCCAAATTATGGAATGAATCCATGGAAAAACTGGTTAAGAGGTCATTATCAATACGATTTATCTCAGATTACATCGTCTAGATTAATCCCCCAAAAATGGCGAAATAGAATCAACCAATGCCATACGTCTCAAAATAAAGATTTAAACAAATGGTATTCCTCTGAAAAAGACCAATTACTTGATTCAAAAAAAAAACAAAATTCGAAAGTCTATTTATTACCAAATAAAGAGGATAATTTAAAAAAAAAACTATAGATATGATCTTTTATCATATAAATATATTCATTCTGAAACTAAAAATAACTACTATATTTATAGATCATCATTAGAAACAAATAATAACCAAGAAAATTCTACCAGAAATAAAGAAAAAAATTTTAGCATACTCAAGAATATTCCTAGCAAGAATTATTTAGGAAAAAGTGATATTATATATATGGAAAAAAATAAAGATAGAAAATTTTTGTATAAAATTAATAAAAATATTAAGGTTGAACCTAATAAGGACCAAATAAAGGATAAAATTCATAATAATGGTCTTTTTTATCTTCCGATTGATTCAAATTTGGAAATAAATTACAAAAAGGTATTTTTTTGATTGGATGGGAATGAATGAAAAAATCTTAATCTTAAATTGCCTCATCTCCAATCCGAAAGTTTTTTTCTTTCCAAAGTTTGTGAGACTTTATCATAAATATAAAGAGAAACCTTGGTTTATTCCAAGCAAATTATTTCTTTTTAATTTGAATATCAATTCCAATTTTAGTGAAAATCAAAATATCAACGGAAAGCAAAAAGAGGATTTTTTCAAATTTAGCCCATCAAATTCAAAACAATATTTTGAATTAAATAATCAAAACAATATTGTTCGAGCATCATTAACCAACTCCTTATCAATCTCGATTCATTTCAATATGAACAACAATTTAACCAATTGGATTGACTAGAATATAACGAGTAATGGAATAAAGGAATATATTATATTGGGAATAGATCAGACTACTACTAAGAAACAATTTGTATTTTATATACAAAAATAGAAAAAAGGAAATGCATGTGATAGCTCATAACAAGGTTTTTCCCAGTTCTAAAGAGTTATTATTGACGAGCTACAGCAATTGCGCCGATTAACGCAACTAAAAGGATTATTGAAATGAATTCAAACGGAAGAAAAAAATCTGTTGATAAATGAATCCCAATTTGTTGACTATTACTTATCAAATCTTGTTCTATAATCTGGTTTGCTTTTGTAGTCCAAATAATTCCGTACCATGACGTATCTGGAATAGTAGTAATTAGTGAAACAAAAAGACTTGTACATACCACCGAAGTTATTCCATCTCCAACGGTCCAAAGATGGAAATCTTTGGAATATTCTGAACCATTTATGAACATCACAGCAAAAATTATTAAAACATTTATGGCTCCTACGTAAATAAGGAGCTGCGCAGCAGCTACAAAATGGGAGTTTGATAGAATATAGAATAAAGATATACAAACAAAAAACCAGTCCCAACTAAAAGGCAGAATAAATAGGATTGGGAAGTAATACTACTCCCAGACCCCCTAATATAAGACCCAATCCCAAAAAGACTAAAAGAAAATCATGTATTAGTCCAGGTAAATCCATTATATATAAAATCAGAGATAAATAAATCAAAATCTTTCATAACTTTATTGATCCGGTCAGGAAAAAAGAAGTAACTCTACTTTTTTATAATAGTCAAGAGTTGCCTCTTGGTTTTTCATACAAACTACCAAGGGTTACCCCCCAGTCTTCCTACAGTACCTAAACCATATGGGCCGGCATTGGTGCCTTCGACCCATGGGACAGTGAGGAGACTCACCTCGAATGCAGAAGCTCCCTGAAAGAAATCCTTAGCTATTGTTCTGACGACTCCTCCGGCTATCAATACCAAATTAGCAATTGGATTCCAAACTATGATCCATAATCCATACTTGGGGTAAAATGATCACTTTAGCCCTGACCCAACATGAACCAAAATTGAGGCCCAAGCCCAAAGCCAAAAAGGCCCAAAACTACAAGATCCATAAAAGCCCATTAATGGCCTAATTTTCCAAATTGGGACCAACCCTATATGGGCCTTGTCCTAAAGCCCAATAATTCCTTAGTCAATAACAAATCTCAGTTAGCCCAAAAGACCCAAAGCAACAAAGTGGTCCGAGGGTGCGAAGCCCAAAATGAAACAAACCCAAAACCCATCTGATGACGAACATGGGGCATACGCTAAGCTACATTGGGCATACTCGAGGAATTCTAGATTGCGATCAAAAGAAGGTATGTTGGGCGTACCATCAGTTACTCGAGGCGTAACCATAATTTCTCCAAAACTCAAAAAACATCTTAATCCGTTAAGTCCTTGCATCAAAACCTTAGAAGACCTTCCAACTACACTCTTAAAGCATAAAGTCGGTGCCTTTATGTATTTACATGACTCAATGGGACCCAACAACCAACTTAATCCATTAAAACCCAACATAATCCAACTAGAACATGCATGGACCATTTCTAAACATCAAGCAAACATTTTTATGAATTAGAAACATCAAAAGAGGCAAGATCTATCACTCCAAGCTCTTGGAGTGGCTCAAACTCACAAGGAGAACTTAATACACCATAAAAACCCTTACTCGTGCCCTAAACTCAAATTTGAACAATAAGAAGTCAAGATGATAACTTTATACCTTGAGTGGGCTGGAAATGAAGCCAAAAGTCTAGATCTAAACGTCCTCTAGGGATGTCAACGGGGGCAACGGGAGCGGGAATAGGTGCCCCGCCCCCGAAATCAATTGTTACCCCCGCTCCCGCTCCCGTCCCCGGTTCCCCCGTTTACATAGCCCCGGTCCCGCCCCCGGTTACCTCCGTCGCCCCCGGTCCCGCCCCCGTTCCCTCGGTTCCCCGACTTAAAATTGGGTTTTTTTTTTTTGCTAAAAAACTGTTTTATTTTTGGCAAAAATACTATTTTTAATAAATTTAAAAGCCTAAAACCTAATCTTTTAGAAACTAAAAAAATTAAAAATCCAACAATTCCATCAATCTTACAATCTTACAAAAATAAATCCAACAATCTTACGAAGACAAATCTAACATTACAAATGCAAAATACGACAAATCCAAAATTACAAATATAAAACACAATTCACTACATCTTCAGTATCCGTTAATTTCCTTCAACTCTTCATTCACTGACATTCGAATATACTCCCTAAATAAATAACAAAAATAATAATAAAATAAATTATTATATTAGTTTATTCAATAGAAAACGACAAATTGAACAATCTTACCTCAAGTCCCTCATCGTCTTCATCGGAATGTACATCATCACCATCAATAATACAACCTAAGAAAGAAAAAATAAATAAAGGTAATAAGCATAATATATTAAAATGAATTAGAAAACAATGGTTCAAGAAAATTCATACATACCTTTTTTACCGCCCATAGCTAATTTTGAGTGCATATGATAGCTTCAATTGTTGACGGAAGAAGTCTACTCCTATGTGGACTAACGATTCTACCACTTGTAGAAAAAGAAGACTTTGAAGCAACAGTGGAGATAGGAATGGCTAATATGTCTTTTGCAATCAAACACAATGTAGGATACTTAACCCCATTTAACTTCCACCAACCTAACAAATCAAACTCATGAATCCGGGGTAAAGTGTCTTCCTCTAAGTACTTTTCTAATTCATTTTTCACAAAAACTTCACTAGTAGCAGAATTCCATGAAAAGAAAGCATCTAATGAGTCCATGTCACTTACGAGAGCTGCATCTCGACTAGAAGTGGGCTTAGTAGTAATATCATCATTACTTGCTTGACTCATAACACATGACTCATATCGCAAATATATATCTTCACAAATTTGACGCACTTTCTGAATTTCATCTTTTGCATTATCTACTCCATAGATAATAGGAAAACAATACTCTAGGAGCTTCATCTTAAACCTTGGATCCAATATTATCGCCATAGCCAACACCCCGTGACTTTCTTTCCAATACTCGTCAAACTTTGTAATCATATTTTCGGACATTTCGCTTATTTCAATGAAACTAGATGTATCCCATTTCTTTAGAGCAATCTTTATTTCACATATTTTGGGGAAAAAAATGTTGGTTGTTGGATATTTTGTTCCCGAAAATAATTCAGTGACATTATAAAAGATTTTTAGTCTATCACAAAGCTCACTTGCCAAAGCCTACTCTTTCTCATCAGGTGCATTCTTATATTGGGGCTCACGTTGTTGTAACCGATAAAACACCTTCTTGTATTTCAAAGCCGTGGAAAGCATTAAATACGTAGAATTCCATCGTGTTTTACAATCAACAACTAGGTTTTTTTTCACAAGAAACATTCTCGCACTTTGCATTTTTTTGAAATGTATCATGTCTTTTTGGTGTAGCTGTCCAAAAACTACAGTTGTTACGCACTTTCTCAATCCCATGTCCAAAAACATCCAACCCACTCCTCACAATTAAATTCAAAATATGCGCAGCACATCGCATATGAAACAAGCTTCTACCTAAAATCAAGCTATCAAAAGGTAGTTTGTCTACCATCAAATCTGTCATGCAATTATTTGTTGAACAATTATCAACAGTTAAAGTTGATAATTTTTTATCTATGTTCCAGTCCAACAAACTATTCATCAACACATTAGTTAGTTTCTCAGCAGTATGGGGGCATGGCACATATATAAACCTACCAGTTAACAAAGTAAATTCAATTTAATTAAAGAATGCATACTGATTGATTAAAGAAATCAATATAAATTAAGCATTACCTCAAAAGACGACTTTGTAATTGCCAAGAATCATCAATGAAATGGGTTGTCACTGTCATGTATCCTTTTTTTTTGGTAGTTGGCAGTCCACATGTCGGTAGTTATTGCAATCCTACCTTGAATACTCTCCAAAAAATGCATCATCCTTGCCTTTTCCTCCCCGTACAACTTCATGACATCAGATCTAGCTGTGTTTCTACAAATAGGCCTAAAAAGTGGTTGAAGTCCCTGACAAAAATCTCTAAAGCCTTCGTGTTCAACAATTCTAAGTGGGTAATCATGTTTTGTGATCATTTTAGCAAGATCGGTTCGGGAATCGTCATAATTAAACCGATGTGTTGCTAAAATTGATCCCCCACTTTCATCCGTCTTAGATCTTTTTCCGGTTAACTGACTCTGAAAATCATCAATTTTCTTTTGCCCAATTCGTATTTTGCATGACTTATGGTGAGAATGCATCCCTTTGGTTCCATTTTTGGTTGTATAAGTAATTTCCTTTCTACAATACTTACAAACAGCCTTTTTGGTTCCATTAACTTCTTCATAAGTGAAATGATGCCACATTGGAGATGTGAATTTAATTTGTTTCTCGTTACAGTTAACTGCAGAATTGGCAGTATCATTAACCGTGTTTGAATCATTGGGTTGATTCAGTTCTGCTGAAGACATGATTACAAAAATCTGAAAATGATTTACACAAACAATCGATGAGAAATCATGTATATGACTTATCTAGCTAAAAAATACATGTATGGAGACATTTAGTAATTTGACAGCATTTATTAATTTCACACAAGTTTTTTTACACAAACAGTCTTGTGGAGTTATGCACTTCATATTACTATATAAATAAACTCCATTGCATTTGATCTCAAAAAGTCAAAACAAGGTTCACAAACAGAAACACAAACAGAAGGAAATATGTTTCCAAACATGTTATGTGGAGCATGCAAATCTCATCATAATCACAGGGGCAATTTCATATATTTCTCGTATAAACATTTATTTATTTAAATAATTATTTAGTCATTAATGTAAGAATAATTTTTTGTATCAGAAATTTGAAGATGAATAACTTAAAATCATTGGAACCAATTTCAAATCTCCAGTTTCAGCCCCTAAGGTAGTGGTTTAATCTGGATTAAACCAACAGTGCAAGCATATTTTTTCTGCCCTGAGCCCTAAGGTTTAGACACTGGATACAGTCATACAAGTTTTTGAACTTGAGATTGAGAAACCGGAATGCATGAGATTGAGAAACGAGAATGCAGAACTTGAGACATTTGTGAGTTATTTATCAAATTGAGAAACGGGAATGCAGAACTGGAATGCAGAAGGGTAAACATTACCGTGCGTGGAAAATGGAATGCAAAAGACGGTCGTTGCAAGCCTGCGACGCTGCCTCGTTCGTTGCCTAAGAGTCGGGAAGAAAGGACACGCTACCTTGTTTGCTAATCGCTGCCTCGTCTTCACTCTTCCGATTTCAATTCTTCATTCGTCGGTCGGAACTTGGATTGTCGCTCTCGGTCGGAACTCGGTCACAACTTCACTCTTCAGACTTCATCACTTCAATTCTTCATTTGTATAAGGAGTAATCGTCTAATCGAGTTATGGAGTAATTCTGTAATTGAGTATTGTGTTGTGTATTGACGGAAGTTGGAACTTGGAACACAGAAAAGTTGAAGCCGTGTCAAGGGGTCTGCGCCTCTGCGGTCAAGCTCAAGCACTCAAGCCCTAATTGCCAAAATTTCTTATTTTAAATTAAATATATATTTTTTTATTTAAATATAAACGGGGCCCCCGCGGGAGTACGGGACAGTAATACTCATTCCCGCTCCCGGTCCCGAAAATAAACGGGAGTTAATATCGCCCCCGCTCCCGAATTTTTTTATAAATTAGTCCTGTACGGTATCGGGGTCCCACAGGGATTTTTGACATCCCTAACGTCCTCATTTGAACCACAAGCTACCATCAAGCACCCTTTTCTTGAAAATGAGCAAATACACACCAAAAAGCACACTTGGATCTCTCAAACACTCAAGATGAGATTAGGGTTTCCGAAATAAGGCTAGAATTCAATGGAGGCTGAGAAAGGAAAGATCCTTGAGCTCATAAAGATGTTTAAATAGTGCCCAAACCCTAAAAATTAGGGTATGGCACTCTAACCACTACGTTGGGCGTACTCACCCAGGCACGTGCCTTCTACCATGCATGCATGGGATTGAAACGCAAGCCTTTTCCAATAAGGGTCGTTTCTGCCAAAATTTTCAAAATGTCATAACTTCCTCATCTTAGGTCCGTTTCCAACGAACCTTATATACACGGAAAGGTGGCAAGAAGCTCTACGCTTCTAACAAAACACCCAAGCCTTAAACCTCCCGAACAAAACCCAAAATCCATAAAAGACCAAATTATCAAATTACGATTATACCATTGGCCTCTAAAGACACAATCGAACACTTGGATCACTTAAACCATAACACCCACACCCGAGAAGGGCCAGATTCTTTCTTTCCCAAGGCCCTAACCCTCATGACCACTAGAGATTGGGTCACAACCCCGAATAAAGAAGCAAATCTGAAACCGAGTGTTATAACTCACCCTGACTCCTTATTGAATGCTCTCTTATGTTTTTTACTCTTCACTTCACCTCAACAACCATCTATAAACAATACCAAGCATTGGTTACTAAATTAACTAAAATAACCTTAGGACTTATTTCAAACCTATTTTCTAAATTAATTTTATATTTTATCTATAAGAGAGTGTTAGAAGAATGGGACTCAAAACGGATAAGCCAAACTCAAGATAGCATTTTTCCTTTTTAGAATAGTACAAGGCCCATGTAACATTTTTCCTTGGCATTACACGATCGTATAATGCCCTTCACAGCCTCATTACATGGCCATGTTTTTCCAAGTCAAAACATAACACGGACGTGTAATGTTGCAGCACTACGCATTCATGCCAAATTTCTTATTAAGGCATCATACTTTGTCATTCTTGATTTCGTTCTTCACCAAACTTTACCATGGGATCTTAATGACCTAAAGTTATATTAACACTACTTTGACTCAATCAAATCTTTTCCTTACTATGAATTAATCATTAAGACCTTTACAGGTCATAGAAGTTGTAGGATGCTTATATGAACATCATAATAACAACAAAGGTCTTATTATCTCTTTAATTATCAAATTGCTAACAATGATTCATCTAAGCTCTAATTCTATCAATAATTCCCTCAAAAATAATTTATATAGCTTAAAATAACTCATAGAGCTTAATTCTTTGGAATTCATGGAATGGAATTTGGGATTCCATCCATTAAACTCTTCACAAAGCTATATCCAAGAGAGGTCTCTTCAATTGATTCACTCCATGACTACTTAATGAACAATCAATGTTCCAAATCATATAGGATTAGATTTGAATCATTGAAATCATAATTTCAATTAACCAACGCCTCTTAATTCATGGTTCAAGGAGTTGTTCTCCATTAATGGCGAGTAAAGCTACATATCTCAACCAAAACTTCATTAAAACAAAATTGGAGTTGATTCAATGAAGGATGGGAGTTCTAACATAAAATTCAATCACGAATCAAGAATTTAACAATCAGTTGACTCACCATCATCGGATTTTGGCTCAATACAAACCCTAGGTTCAAATCAAGATGTGATAAGAGTGAGAGATGATACCTTCAAGTGCTAAATTCCAACCCTGACTTCCAGATACTTTGATGGCTTCAAAAACAATTCTAGATCTTCTTTTCGTCATCAAAATAGCCATATGTGCTCTCCTCCCTACTCCAAATCGTTCTTCCCTGCAAAATGAGGTAGGTGACCCTCCATCTAGCTCCTAACTTGCCTCACCTGTCACTTATGGTCCTTTCATCCTTATTTCTTATAAAAGTGGCACCATTAGACCATACTCTTTAGGAGGCATCCGCTCCAAATAAACTACCTACTTAACAGTCCCACCCCCCCCCCCCCCCCGCGCGCGCGCGCGCGCGCGCGAATGATCAGTGCAGCAATTAAGCATCCTTAGACGAATGAAAGTACTCTAACTAATGGTCTTCTTGAGAGGATCGGATGCGAATGATCGGTGCGGCAGTTAGGCATCCTTAGACGAATGAAAGTACTCTAACTAATGGTCTTCTTGAGAGGATCGGATGGCCATAGAGGCAAAAGGAAAGGATTCCATTCGTCTTTTTTTGTCCTAGTCATGAAGGTTTTGGCTTTCTTTCTTCTAAGTTTGACTAGCCATTGATTGATATAATTTCTAAATCAAGAATTTGAGTTGTGAATTCTGGTGTAATGTTCGATCTAAGATATTCGAAATAAACAGATAGAATTGTTGGCTTTCTCAATAGCTTTATCAGCCGGAAAAGCAGTTACTAATTCCTATCTCAGTAGCTTCATCTTCTTTGGAAGCTGAGAATGCTTCTGCTGACGAACCGCGATCCACAAACGGACGCATGGGACTATACCTTCCTAGCCACGTGAAGCCTACCAAACTTGGTCGTCAAAAGGGGCACTACTAGTGTTGTGTTCTTTTCATTGAAGCATACCTTTCGCTAGGCAGGGATCAATTACGAGTACGAAATACATTTCACATACAAGTCGGATAGCACGATAAGTCAATTACACTCCTCCGCTTGGCATTCCAATTCAAATACTAGTGAGACAGACAACCTCATGTCTATGCGTTAAAATAGTAATGACCTTGCCTACAGGCTCATTGGTACACTCAAGTAGGAACGAATTCTCCACTTAATTAAGAAATGTTTTAAAGACACAAAGGATCAAAGCAATAATTAAGAAAGGTTTTAAAGACACAAAGGATCAAAGCAATGGAAAAGCAAGGGACGAGGCGACTGACTATAATGTTACTGTTACGTGAATTTATTATTAATTTAAATAAATTAAATATAAATATAAGTACTATAATGTTACTTTATCGTGAATTCATTATTAATTTAAATAGATTAAATATAAATAATGAAAAAACGATAGAAAATATGCCATTTGGTTCCAATAAAACTTATCATATATAACAATAAACAACACTTAGCCAAATTAATGTATTTTACGAGATATTTGTGATACAAAAATGCGTAGAAAGGTCATAAACTTATTTTATATAACAACAAACAACACTGTGGTAGCGACATGCATTTATATTAAGTTACATAATGTATGGTAAATATACTTCACAAACAAGTGGCTAAAGTATTAAATTCATATAAAAAAACAACACGTTCTCAAGTACAAACCAATCATTTTTGTTAGAAACTTGATTGTGAATTAGTTTTTAAACTTGGTGCTTTCTTGAGTGTTTTATTGTAAGAACTACTATGGTCCAAATCCTTTAGTTGAAAATGAATTTACTTTATGATTTAATGGAACGTTATTGTTAACTTTTCAAACCATTATTCCCTTGTTATATGAATTATCAAAGCAAGCTCAGACCAAATTCAAATAACATCAAAGATTACAAGTAACAAAAAGTATGGCTGTAAGTGAGAGCCATTAACTCCTCGATATCAAATCAAAAGTTACAAGAAATTAATTTAAAACGTCAACGAAAAAATATCGCTCTATTGAATACTCATGAGACAAAATTTGACAACATCCCATGATTTCCCAAAAAGAATACCGAAAAATCAAAGGATTGAAGTTTTAAAAATAATTAAATAAACAAAATATCAAAAAATTTAAACTCACATTGCTTCGTAGAACAAAATGTAGGCCTCACACCGAAGAACTTCCTCCAAAGAAGTCACACGGATATACGCATCACTGGCATGATACCATATGCAATCACCTCCTTTCACATATGCCACATAATGGCCTCCCCTCATTGACCCTAAATGCTCCACCACTCCCATTAATTTGTATTTGTATGTCTCCTTTTCTTTACAACAACTGTAATCAATTAAAGGGACGATTTGGTCATTTTAACATTCAGTCTTGTCGTGTAATAGAGTTTTAGGCTACGTGTGCCAGAGCTAGTTTATTTTCGAACTTTTTTAAATTGTCATGTTTGGTAAGCCAAAAAATAGCTTATAAGTTAGCTTTTTAAAAAGGTGTTTAGACTACATTTTAAGGAGTTTTTTTAAAATATTCCAAATATACCCCTAATTAGTTATAGAAAACTCATTATAGGAAATATCTTTTTATGTCATTTTGAATCTTCCAGCTAGTTTTTACCAAGGCTATGTTTGGAACGTCACAGCTGGCAGATAAGCTTCGCTTATTTTTCAAACTTTTTTAAGTTTTCATGTTTGGCAAACCAAAAATTAGCTTATAAGCTATCTTTTTGAAAAGCTACTTAGACTAGCTTTTTAGGAGCTTTTTTAAAAATTTCCAAATATACCCCTTAATTAACTATAGAAACACATACTTTTAAATGTTCTTTTATGTCATTTTATATCTTTCAGCTAGTTTTACCAAACACCATTTTTTATCAACTAACTTTTCAGCTATCAGCTAGCTTTTCAACTAGTAGCCAAACATAGCCCAAATGTCATTTTTTATCAATTAGCAACTAACTTTTCAGCTAATACGCCAAGCATAGCCTTAGTATAAGAAAAGAAACATACCTAGGGTCCATGTCGGGTTTAAGATCGATTGTATCTCTAAAGCTGACATGGCCGTTTAATTTACTTAAACGCCCCCGAGCATCTTGGCAGAACCTTTTCAGATGAACGGTCAAAACCGGTGGGGCCCGACTGATCAAAATCCTCTTAGACGCATCTCTCGCCACCTTGGGACTCTTGGAATCCACGTCATCATCTTCGCTGCTATCTGACTCATGTTTCTTACATTCACCATTGGATTTGTTTACACTGCAAGATTCAGTATCCTGACTCCCGAACCCATTGGGAAGCGAGTGGTCAACGCCTGAATCACATGAAATTCCATTTTTACCCTTGTTTTTGTTCTTTAGTCTCGTCCTTTGTTGTTTTGAACATTGTTCACACTGCCACGCGTGTTCGGTTTTTGTTAGAAGCTCAGGGGTAGTGAAATAAGCCAAACATTTCTCCACTGAAACTGGAGAATTATTGTCATCAATATCATCAGGATCAGATTCACTGTTGCTTGTAGTCATTAAACCTTTTTTTTCATCTCCATTTGACAAGGGTTTTATATCAAGCTCAGGTTCATCAAACAAACCTCCGATTCCAAACCCATCAACTTCCAAGGGTTCTTTTGTAATTTCATTCCCACCACTTGTTGAAACTTCGGTGTTATTTCCAGAATTTTGAATCACTGATGGGTCTTTGTTATGTGATTCCGTTGTTGAGGTAACTTCAGAGTCTTGGATTTTTATTTGGGTTTCATCTTTCCAAGAAACTACGCTGCTGTTTCCGGAATCTTGGATTCCTGAAGGGTCCGGATTCTGTGATTCCGTAGTTGAAGTAACTTCAGATCCTTCAACTTTTAACTGGGGTTCATCTTTCCAAGAAGCATTGTTGCTATTTCTGGAATCTTGGATTCCTGATGTGTCCGGAATATATGATTCCGTAGTTTTAGATTCTTGAACTTTTACCTGGGGTTCATCTTTCCCAGAAACTCCATTGTTATCTCCGGAATCTTGAATTCCTGAAAGGTCTTCATTACGTGATTCCGTAGTTGAGACGACTTCAGATTCTTGAACTTTTAAGTAGCCTTCATCTTTCCAAGAAACTCCATTGTTATTTCCGGAATCTTGAATTCCTGACGGGTCTTCATTACGTGATTCCATAGCTGAGGTAACTTCAGATTCTTGAACTTTTACATGGGATTCGTCTCTCCAAGAAACTTCATTGCTATTCCCGGAATCATGAATTCCTGACATGTCTTCAATACATGATTCCGAAGTTGGTTCAAGGTAATCCAACCATGATGTTGTTTCCTCTAAAACAACAGATTCAACTTTCCCAGTAACACATGGTTCAATAGACTTTATGGGTCCCGAGTTTTCTTCAATGATTGAAACTTTCATAAAACTTTGGTCTACTTTGGAATCCTTTTCCTTTTTATTCTTTGACCGAAATTTTCCCGTTCTTTTTGGAGGAAGTTTTGTTTTCTTGGATTTAGAAACCAACTGAACCCTTTTAGATGGAGGAGATCTTTTAGTAGGTAAAGGTAATGAGAGATCTAAATATGGCTCATATACTACAGAATTATGCCCACATTCCAAACAACTAACAGTGCTAGAAATTTGTCCTCCAAAAATGGTATCCACAAAAGTAGGAACATTTTCTTGAGTAGCATTACCATTTTGAGAACGTTTTCTTATACCAGATTCCTCATTACACATTCCATCAAGCAAGCATCGAAGCAATTCATGACTATCATGTTGTTGAAATACCCTAAATTGTGGAGCCTTGACACAAACACACCCAAAAAAGGCTCGTGGATTAATGACATTCTTGCCCCCTGTTGATTGACTAGTTTCAATAAAAAGTTTCTTTAAAGACACCATAAGAGGCCCTAAAGTTCCCTCAAGTCTCAAGAGATACTCCCGCAATTTATCCATTGCCAAAAGATTTTGCAAAACTGAATTGAAGAAACAAGTGTTTCCTAAATTCACTAAACCCCTTACTATGTATCCACCATTTTCAAGGGTATTTACGGAATTTAACTCGGCTGTATCACTATCATCAACATCTTTACGGGTTTCTAACGATTGGGTCTTTAATGCTTTAACAAATTCGGATAATGTGTCTTTTTGTTCTCCATTTTGAACTGGAATAAGTGTATTGCAAATGAAACACCATCTTAAATTAGGGTTTGCAAATTTTATAACTAATGGATGGTGATTTTGTTTTGAATGGCGTGCTGCATGGGTTTGAGGGGTTGTTGGGAACCCAACACCACCACATGAAAAATGACCACATTCCAAGCATACCCATATGGAATTGGAATTGGAATCGGATTTTGAACCATTTCCTTTATTCTTTTTTCCCTTTTTTGTCCTTCTATCGTTCACACTTTCTCTACAATCATCACATTTGTGAGACTCAAGTGATGCTATTTTTAAGGAAAAGTTTTCAAAATTGATGCCCTTTTCAAGATGAGGACATGTTTTAGTCTCTTTAATAACGGAAGCTCCATTGATGACTGTATCAATGGATGGAATGATGTCTTGTGAAACTGTTTTGGGAGAAAAAGATGGAATCCGTTTGTCCTTTTGAGCACTGCGGGCTGCCTTCTTGTTGACCTTTTTCCCCATTAAAATCTGAAAATGTTTCAGTTTAATAAAAAGGTCAACAATTCTGAATAGCTAAAGATATCATCGAAAGTACATTGTTAGAGATAAATGTTATTTGCCAACGTATATGATAGAGAGAAGTTTAGAATCATAATGTAATCTGTAAATTCAAAGATTGGCATCCACTGGATGATAGTTTTGTTCCCAAAATCTCTGTATTATGTTATCTTCATACTATTCATATGTGGATGTCCATTTTCTTATAAGTACAAAATCCAAAATGATATAAGCAATGTTGATTATATGCAATTCCGGAATCCATAAAGATAAGTATTATATAATGAAATAAGATAGGCACTTTACATAAAAAGCCTATTTTTCTCCTGAAGTATTAAGATCTGTTCTTAGCGTATCTTCAATGTCATCTAATAGGAACAAGTTTATGTTGTAGTTACAGGATATCTTACACAAAACTTATATTAAAATTGAATTAGTACATCATCCATAATCGAAATTCGCAACTCTAGTTTGATTATAAATAGTCTCAAAAGCACGATAGATTAATGGTTTAGGGTTTCAAATCAATTAATATGTTCAGATGTAAGTTTCTGATTTGAAACATCCATTAAGAAAACCGATGAAATCGAAACGAACGATAAATACTCAAAAAAAAATCAAATCATGAACTTCAGAGTAACCAAAAACATGTTATACCAATTGGAAATTAGATGTCCAAAAAGAATAAACAAAAGAAGAGGAGCTTACTTGGAAGCCGCTAGAGAAGGAGGCTGAATTTAACGGATCGGCGGCGGGCAACGCCGGGGAGCAGACGCCAGAGCTGTGACTACGGTCTTCAGTCTTCAGTAAAGGGGTGTGGTTCAACAGTTCAAGGGCTTGTGGGGCGAGGGTTTGCCAGTCGTCTCTTTAGTTTTCCCAATTCTGCATTTCTGCCAAGTTTTAAAATTAGTAATCCAATTTAATTTTTTATTTAAATAAATTATTTATGATTATTTTTATTTTATTTATAACCACAAACTAGAAATTGTTCCATCAGCGCGTCGCAACTTTACGTGATAAGCATGCCCTAGAAGTTTGGATCTGTGATTTGGAGCCGCTGCATACGTGATAAGCATGTCCTAGAAGTTTGGATCTGTGATTTGGAGCTGTTGCATGGCTCAAATCAGGTATGTATGGAAAAAGGGACTGAACGGACTCGGTGAGTCGCAAGCTTGACTCGGCGAGTCATATGAAAATAGTTATGGACTCGACGAGTTTGATGAGCAACTCGGCGAGTCCGATGAAGATTGCCTTAGACTCGACGAGTTGTTCTACAACTCGGCGAGTCGGATGAGTTTTTCCCAAGAAAAGTAGTGTTTGAATGGAGAATGAATCTTTTTATCGAATGATCAAAAAAAAAAGGTCCGGATCTCCTGCGGGAATGATTTGGAAGAGCCAAAACCAAAAATAGTGGTATTTGCTAACAACAACATAATAGAGGCAGTCAATCAATATATATTGATCCGAAATTTGATTCAAATCCAACATAGCACCCATAGATACATAAGAAATGTATTGAGTCGATTCTTTTTAATGAATAGATCCGATCGCAACTTCAAATATGGAATTCAAAGGGATCAAAAAAAAGGATACTCTGAATCATAGAACTCTAATGAAATATATGATCAACCAACATTTATCGAATTTGAAAAAGAATCAAAAGAGATGGTTTGATCCTCTTATTTTTTTTCTCGAACCAAGAGATCCATGAATCGGGATCCTGATGCATATAGATACAAATGGTCCACTGGGAGCAAGAATTTCCAGGAACATTTCGTTTCTGGGCAGAAGAGCATACCGATTTACGTTTTGGGAAGGACATGATCTGTAAATTTGCTATTATGTTGGGACTATTTTTAAATTTTTTTAGATATATGAAATAAAAAATATAATGTGAACCATTTCTATAAAAAAAATATATACATAGACCTTTTTGTAAATTGTCAACATACAAAAGTATTTTGACCAAAGTCTAAAACTCGAACATACAAAAATGCATACCAGTCTTTTTCTTAAATTATATGGATAATTTTTACAATTTATTTTTTATATATGACCAAATCTATCAATATATAAGCTAAAATCTAAAAATATATCATTCATAGACTCCTAGTATTTTATTATATATAATAATTATATATTCTTCTAATTTTTGGTGCATGGAGTTTTTAATCTAAAAAAGTATATTAATAAATTACATTCGTTCCTCGTTCAAGTGCCAAATTGCACGTTTAGTCCTTATTTTTAAAAATTAACTCGGATCATCCTTCATATCGTTAAAAGTTGCATGTTACGTCCCTCACATACATAAAATGACTATCATCCTTCATATCGTTAAAAGTTGCATGTTACGTCCCTCACATACATAAAATGACTATCATCCTTCATATCGTTAAAAGTTGCATGTTACGTCCCTCACATACATAAAATGACTATCTTGCCCTTTTCTTTTTCTTTTTCATTTATTTTTCAATTGTTTATAATTTATCTATTATTTTGTATTAATTATAATTCTTAGAAAATAAACTTCTCCTTAAATTGGTTCCAAGTTCCAACCCCTCCCACCATCAACCACCTCCGGCCATCAATCAACCATCTCCAGCCACCAGTCACCACTGACAAACACCACCATTCACCTCCAAAATAAAAACAGAAACTTGAAATTAAACCAGAAAATCAAATATGAATCTAACCCTACATCTAAAAGCCCTAAGTACCTGTTAACAAATCCCAAAAATCTTTTCAGAGATGAGAGTTGATGGCTATGGTCGGTATCTGGAAGACGACGTTCTTCTCCAACCATACGTCGTCATCCCCCTCCATATCCTTCTTCTTCTCTAAATCCAAGGCAACCTTAGATCCGAGGGTGTGATTTATTTCAAGAAAGATGGAAGGCAACAGTGGGTGTGATTTATTTCTCCGGCACCACCACCCAGAATCGTTCAAAGAGACGATCTTCAACGTGCATATCGACAGAGTACAATTCCACGAAGTGCAAATCCATGGAGTGCAGATCTAGGAACGGAGAAGCGAGATGAGTTGTTTCATAAATGTAGATCAGCAGTGTTGCGTCGGATACGTTGCCTATGTCATGGATATCCAGGATAAAGTAAGGCGACAGTCAATGATGTACCGGTAGTGCGAGAGTACCCGGACGTATTCTCGGAGGATCTACCTGGGATACCTCTGGAGAGACAGGTTGATTTTAGGATTGACCTGGTCCCTGGTACGGCTCTGATAACCAAGGCACCATATTGGTTGGTTCCTCCCATGATGCATGAGTTATCTACGTAGCTGCATTAGCTACTAGACAATGGTTTCATCAGGCCGAGCAGTTCACCATGGGGAGCCCCGGTCCTATTTGTGAAGAAGAAGGATGGGTCACATCGTATGTGCATAGACTACCGGGAGTTGAATAAGGTAACAGTGAAGAACCGTTACCCACTTCCAAGGTTAGATGATTTGTTTGACCAGCTTCAGGAAGCATCTTGGTTCTCCAATATTGATCTACGGTCCGGATATAACCATATGCGGGTCAGAGATGATGATGTACAGAAGACCGCTTTTAGGACCCACTATGGTCATTATGAGTTTGTGGTGATGTCGTTTAGGCTCACCAATGCTTCATACACGTTCATGGACCTCATGAACCACATGTGCAGACTAATGTTGGATCGGTTTGTAATAGTGTTCATTGATGACATCTTTACTCCAAGACTCAATAGCACCATGAGGAGCACCTAAGAGAGGTGTTGGAGACACTGATGAGGGAGAGACTTTTCGCGAAGTTCTCCAAGTGTGAGTTCTGGTTGCGCAAGGTGCAGTTTCTTGGGCACCTCGTCAACCCATAAGGGTATTTTGGTAGATCCGGCCAAGATAGAGGTCGTGATGCAGTGGGAGATCCCGAGGTATCCATTTGAGATTTGGAGTTTCTTGGGTTTGGAAGGGTATTACAAGAGATTTATCCAGGACTTCTCCAAGATAGCAGTTTCGTTGACCCGACTGACCAAGAAGTCAGTGGTTTTTTGTTGGGTCCTGAGCAGTAGACAACCTTTGAGACGCTCAGGCAACGATTATGTGAGGCGCCGATTCTCACCTTGCCGGAGGGGGTAGATGACTTCGTAGTCTACTGTGATGCTTCGATCACAGGCATGGGAGTAGTGTTGATGCAGCGGGGTCATGTGATAGCTTATGCTTCGAGACAGCTAAAGCCCCACGAGGCTAACTATCCGACGCATGATTTAGAGCTGGGGGTTGTAGTGTTTGCCCTCAAGATTTGGCGGCATTACCTCTACGGGGTCTGGTGTACCATTTACACGTACCACAAGAGTTTGAGGTACCTCATGGATCAGTCGAATTTCAAAATGAGGCAGCGTAGGTGGTTAGATATGGTGAAGGATTAAGATTGTGAGATCCTTTACCACCCGGGCAAGGCCAACGTAGTAGCTGACGCCCTGAGCCGTAAGTCGGTAGCGGCCCCGATTCAATACATTTGTCTAAGGATCACAGTAATTACTCCATTGTTGGAGCATATCCATGAGGCACAGGTCAAGGGCCTGAATGAGGATCACGGGAAGTGCAATCGGATCATAGACCAGGTGGCCTCCTTTGACTACGATAGTCGTGGGTTGTTGACCCTGCATGGGAGGTTTTGGGTGTCGTACTAGGGCGGGGTACGGAAAATATTGATGGACGAAGCCCAAAAGTCTAGGTTCTCCATCCATCCAGAGGTGACGAAGATGTACAGAGATCTCCGAACCGATTACTGGTGGCCCTGCATGAAGCGGGATGTTGCTTGGTACGTAGAGAAATGCCTGACCTACAGGAAAGGCGGAGCACCAGAGGCCACATGACAAGATGTAGTCGTTGGACATCCCCGTGTGGAAGTGGGAGGACATTACTATGGATTTTATCACTAAGCTTCCCAAGACCACACGTGGGGTCGATTTGATATGGATCATCATGAATCGGTTGACCAAGAGCGCCCACTTCATATTGATCCAAGAGAGCATCTCGGTCGAGAAATTGGCCGAGATCTACGTACGAGAGGTGGTGGCATGAAATGGAGGGCTTGTGTCAGTAGTGTCAGACCGAGAAGTCCACTGTTGGATGAGTGTCTAAGTCCATAACTGTTTTGGTATGTACTTGACCCGATTATGAGCATGGTCCTTTTGGGTTGCCTTCACCATAGCAATATGTAGGATGATTTAAGGAGAGAAAGGTTTAAATATGATTTATTAATATATTATGAGAATAATATATTAAAGGAGAAATCATATTGTTTAATTAATATTGGTCAAGAATTAATTAAAATTAATTTTGTGGTTAAAAGAGATTAATTAAACTTAGGGGACTGAAGCTGTAATTATAAGATAATTATAATTGGGCTATGGATCACCTAATAATATATAGGTTGAACGAATTCTATGGGAAGCCCATTAGAAATCGTCCAAGGGATATGTTTAAGGAGTCCATGGGCTGCTTAGGGCCTAAGCAGTCAGATTAGGGTTTCCTAGTTGTAAACCCTAATAGCCTACATGTATAAAAGGGACCCTTAAGCCCCAAAAACGTGACAACACTTCCATTAGGGTTTCCAGCCGTTTTTGGTGCCTCCTTTTCTTCTCCTCTTTCATCCAAGTTGCATATGGTGTTTGTGACTCCATTAGAGGTACTACACTTGTGGTACTTGCTTTCAAGAGCTAAGGAAATTCAAGGAACTAGTTGTTATTGCTATATAACAACAAAAGGTATGTATTCTAGCTTTATATATGAATTTCGAAAATTATAGTAGCATGCCAGGTTTCTTTTTGTGTTCATAAAGTTGTATAACTAATAGTGAAAACATAGATCCAATACTAGGGTTGCATGCACACATAGGATTGTTTGTATAAGACCCATCAGTGGTATCAGAGCCATTGGTTTTTGTTTTCAATTAGCTTTTATTCAAATTTGTGAACTTGACATATTAGGGTTTATGGCTAATAAACCCTAAAGGCTAGGTAATTTTCGCAATTAGGGTTGCAAAACCCTAGATGGCGATTTTTGCTAGGGTTTCCCAAATCCTTTCCTTAGCCTCCAAGATTTTGAAATCTCGGGTTATCCAACCCTTGGATTTCGAAATTACCTCCTTCCCAAGGTTAGATCCTAAATTTTAGGGATTTGGACAATCCCATATCTTGTAATTATCTTTTAATTGTTAAATATGGTAATTAAAGATCTTGAATTATCCCATCCCTTATTTTCGAGATTTAGAGAGGGATTCAAGGGATTAGGATATCTTAGATGTATAATTGGTAATTATCCTCATGATCTAGATAATCCCTTGTGATTTAATAATTTAAATTAATTGTTTAATTTATGGTAATTATTAAATCAAGAGTTTTAATATTTAAAATTTTAATTTAAATGTCTTAAATTCGAAAATTTTAAGTGAGATTAAAACCTAATTGTTTTGAAGAGTTTCAAAACTTGCCCTCAAGTTTTGGAATTTAAATTGTTGATTAAAAGTTAATTTTGAAAGTCTAAATTCCAAAACCCTGATTTTGAAAAGTTCAAATTAAACCCTTATGGTTTTATTAAATTAATTAAGTGTATAATTAAAAGAGATTTAATAAATCCATAATGATTTTGGTTAGTTAAAAGTATAATTTAAACCACCTAGTATTTTAAAAGTGTAAAATACACCCTTATACTATATATAACATTAAAAGTTTAATATTATATATGTATAACTAAAAAGTCAGTCTTACCGTTAGTAGGCCTCATTCACGAACTAGTCTATAAGGGGTGTTTAAGGAAATTGCCTATAAAATGGCGATTGAATGGGTATCCACTCTTACCCACCGCACTCTTGACTAGTGGAGGGTCGTTAGCCGAACGGGTAGGATAGGACAGAAACCTTCCATTATAAGTATAATGAAGTACAAAGTAACTAAATGCTTTTTCAAATTCCCAAATCATAGTTACTTTAGGCAAAATGTGAAATTGTATGCTAACCCATGGAATTACACTTCGTACCCTTGTCAAACGTTAGTGGAGCGTGTGTGGTTAACCGGCACACTAATTTGGGGATGACATTGGTGGCAAAGGGTGGCTCGATGCTTATCATAGATCAATGGAGCGTGTGTGGCTAACCGGCACATTGATTAGGTGATAGTAGCATTGGGTGCACCACGTGATTCGTATGGTTATTTACACCTTGTTTGTGATCCTCGGCATCCCAGTCACGAATAGTAGGGCATAATCGAGATTAAACATGCCATTGAAGAGTTCAATGAGTCTCAAAAGATCTAGGAGTTTCAATTCATTTAAAACTTAAACTTCTTTTTCGTTTTTCATGGTGGAAATTGGTAAATCGTCATTTACCTACCTTCAAATATTCTGCAACTAGATTACGGCATCCCTCTTCTAGGTTGTAGAGTATTGTGTTGGATCCTAGCTTGATGTTTCATTTGGGTGTTGCATCAAGAATTCTAATCAACTTAACTTGAATTTTCTCCCGTTTTGTAGATGTCTGAATCTTACAATGGTCTTCCCAAATCCTTTGGAACAAGCTTTCCAAATGAAGATGACGTTCCGAGATACGATCAAGGAAATGAGAGTCATGCTTCACTTCCTCCACCTCCTCCAATTATTCTCCCTGACCCACAAGTTCAAAGGCTTGAAAAGTTCAAGCTCACTCAAGCCCTTTTGGCAAGTAAACACGAAGATGGCACACGTCTTAGAGATGAAGTCATACATTGATAGGTTAAACATGTTGGGTGTCGAGATTCAAGTGAGTTGGCTGTTGACTGGGTTCTTCAG